TTTCTGCAGTAGTAGCTGTGCATCCATATTTTTAGACAGTGATTGTCAGCCTGCACGTATGTCCTTGGCACTGTCACTGTTACTGGAAAGCATTAGCAACTGGAATAACACACTTTGCTACAGAATAATTTTTTCAATTTAATTAAGTTTACTTAGCTTTAACCTGATAGTTTTCAAGATCTGCCTGATGTTTTTAAGGTATTTAATAGATAAATTTGCATGGTTAATGTAAGGAGTACACAAAATTTTGGATCTGTACAATTTTTACAAGTCAAAGCATAGTCAGTCTATAGAATGACTCTTGTGTATTTTGGAAAGTGGCTTAAAAAGTAGATTTCAATTGTAAATGTGGTATTTATTAAATTTCTGAAGGCCAAATTTATATATAAATATTGCACTATCTGATCTGTGCCACTGGGTGGTAGCATTATTTTATTTTCGTTTAAACTCTGGCTGAGTGGTTTTCAAACTTTTTGATCTCAGGGACCTGTTTACACTCTTGAAATTTACTGATGATTCCAAAGAACTTCTGTTTCTATGGGTTATGTGTAGTGATACTTACTGTATTAGAAATTAAAACTAAGAAATTAAAAAAATATTTGTTTTGTTCATCATAAAATAATTAATAAACCTATTACATATTAGCATAAATACTTTTATGAAACTTACCTATATTTTCCAAAACAAAATTTAGTGTGAAGAGTGTCCTTATTTTATATTTCTGCTTATCTTATTGTTTGGCTTACTGGAAGATAGCTGGATTTTATACCTGTTTCTGCATTTACTCTGTTGTTATTTTGGTTGAACTATAAGAAGAAAATCTGCCCTCGTGCAGATAAGTATTTGGAAAAGGGAGGACCTAATAGGCTCCCTGAAAGGGTGTCAGGACCCTAGAATCTGTGGACCACACTTTGAAAACTGCTGCTCTAGACTTTTGCTTTCACTAACAAAGGAAGCTTGGTGATTGGGTGAGAATTCTGATAAAATTCTTTTTGTTGCTTTTTCTGTTAATTTGCATTTTACTCCTTTTTTAGTATTACCTGTATTTTTTGTGTAATACCACATTCATTTTATTTACAATAGCAGCTCTTTTGCTGGGATAAAGACATAGGCATGGACTTACATATTCATTCTTGATGTTATTCATCAGCTTCTTAGGATCAGCATTTCATCGAGAGGTTGGCAGCCTTTCCACAGTTGTGCATATTTGTTTGTTCCCTGTAGTGGGAGTAGAAGTGGGTCTTTTTATCCTTATAGTAAAGTGGCATCTGGGACAGTGCAACGAAATAGTAGTGCTCCCTGGAATCTCCGAATTCTGGCATTTGTTATATCATTGGTAATGACATTGAGGATGAGGAGAGGAAAAGGCAAAAGCAAACGCCACATTCTTCCTACCTTTACCTAAGGCTAGTTGTTTTAGTTCTCTCTTCCTCTTACTACTACAACTGTTTTTTGTGAAATTTTTTTTGTGTCACCTAGTGCATAGCTTATGCTAGGCAAATGGCAAACATCCAATAACTACGTATATGATGAATGAATGAGTGGCTGGATTATTGAGCTTTTGCCCACCTTTTTGACTGAACCCTTATAGTAAGCACTTGTCCATTTTTATAATTCCCATGGATGTGAGTGAACCTCTTCTGAAGTGGAAAGTGAGGAGCTAGCAGTAAAAGGCCTCCCCCCTGCATTTTCCTTTTGGCAGAGGACCATTCTTAATAACGTTCATTAAATTTTCGCCTAGAAACGTTTTCAAAGTATTTTTATGTATTATTAAAAATTGCCTGAGATACATTGAATTTTGCTTTGGAAGAACACAATGTGTTCTTGCAACATTCTGGCGGCAGTTTGTGCTTCGCCTCCCCGCTGACGTGTGCTGTGACTGGCTTCCCTGCGCGCTCTTGCATGTTGGCAGAAGACTTATCAGCTGTGGCTGATGCACGCTTTCGTTCTCCCCACTCACTTACCCTTTGTTGGTAATTGGAAAGATACATTATGTAGATATTCAGAACATACTTCTTTATTACTCACATTAAAATCTGAGCATAGTTTCATTTTGGAAAGAGTGGGGAATCGACTTTCAGGCTATTACAGGCCATGGATACCACTTTACTGTATCTGGTGGTTGCAACATCAGAAAGTGAGACGTTTCTGGTTAGTAAGTAAACTCGCAGTATATCCGCCTTCACCATTGAAATGGGACTCATTCCTGGAGACAGACTTCCTATAAGGAAGTGGCTCCATTTGTGGTTCAGTATAGAATCCAGAATGGGTTTGAAATATGTTTTCTATATGTGGATCTGTACAGTGTATTTTAATACTTTTTTTTTTTTGGTACTTGGTGTTTTTGTAAAGCAGGATGGAATTGGAAAGCAGTTGAGTTTCTGTGTGTCTGTCAAAGGTATAACATGCTACATTTTGTAGAAAGTTAGAAGCCATCAGAAATTCTGGTTTAGTAAGATGTATTATTGCTCAACTGAGCTTGATTAATGTCAGCATTCTTAGTTTTTAAAAAATAATGCAAGGTAAGGATCATTCCTTAAATACAATTTTAAAGTTTTACTGTCAAGCCTATATATTCAAGTTGATTTATCATCTGAGGGAAAAGTTGGATGCCTCAGTTTTTGCATTTGAATGAGGATATTGAATTAAAAGATCTCAAAGTTTTCTTTCTAGGCATAAAATTATATAGTTCTCTGACATGGTTGCCAAAGGTGGGAGAGAGGATTATATTTAGATGAACTGTCGAAGTGGATCTATCCATCCTACTTTAATCATTATATGATGGGTAATCAAATGACTTAAGAAAATTATTTCAGTGGATTAAGTACTAAAATTAGAATATAATATAGGAGAATATTCTAAAGTTTACCGAGTGTGGTAAGAAAACTTAATTATTGGAAAATTATATCTAAATAGGAACTGCATGGCATGGATTTTTTTGTAGTTTGAAAAATGAGAGCACTACATATATTTTTACACTGCACTGAATTCTGGAATTGTAAAAATGAAAACAAGGAAAATTGGTGATGACTATATACAGTTTTGTTTTATTTTGCTTAATTGACAAAAGTTTTTCATTTAAAACTGTTTTGCTGGAAGGATATCAAAACTATCTTTGGGTTCTCTAGAGCCCAATTCAAGATATTTCTGTGATGTGCTTAGGAGTTCTAAAATTCAATTTTACATGCTGAATAATAACAGTAATGAAAAGATGTTGATGACATCCAAGCATTAAAAAAATGTTGCCATTCCTTTTTCCGTTTTTTCCTTTCCCACGTTTAAACATGCAGCACAAACTAAGCAGTAAGCACTCTGTTACAGAATCTCCTTCCCACAATTGATCAGTTTACTTGATTTTTAAGAAATTAGGAAACTAATTTCTTGTTAGGTGTAAGAGATACTTATTTATGTTTGACACTAAAATTTGGAGTAAAAGAATATCTAACAGGATTTTCTTTAAAATTTTATTTTCTAACATGTTTATATCTAAGAATTGTCACCTTAATGTTTGCAGGCAAATACCAGGGAAGATAAAGTAGGAATCTTTCAAAATAATTTTAGCTAATTAATATTCCTTTGAAATTTAGACCTTGAGCATCAGTTTTACGCTTTGGGCATATAAAATGAATAAATAAGAGATTTCTTTTTGTATCAAAGATGGTTGCCAGAGAAGTTTTTGTTTCAATGTTGAGCAAAGTAAGTTGTGTTTCCCAGTTGAATCAGAATTTAGCCTTTCTCTTGCCCTTTTCTGCACTAATGCAATTCGTTCAATAAGAAAATAAGAACATTTTTTGTCTTCAGGTATGAAATTCCTATGTCCAAACCGCCTGTTAAGCCAGCGTATGGTTAACAAAAGGACTTTTTTTCTGAGGTGCCGTAGGTTGAAGTTCCACATTTCTTATACCACTGGGAGTGAAAATATTATATATGTCAGTGAACATATGTTCCTCTGACATATGTTTCTTGATAGGATTGAAAACCCACCTTCAAAATTGATGTTTTATTTATAGTCCATTTCTGTGGTAAGGGGAAGGTCTGGTGTCTTGTGTGAGGACTAAAGGAAATCATCTAGGATGATAATAGCAGTAGGGTCTTCACAGGGTATCATTATGCCAGTAGAGAGTACATGCATATACATTTACACACATACCTATACATAAACACACGCGTGCATATTTGTGGTGCCAAGCTACCCAGCTGTTGCACCTGTCCTATCTGACTTGGTTTGATGCTGGGTGAGCTCCATGAAGCCTCCATGAAGATCATACCGCTCTAGCCTAGATGACTGTTTTTGCAGGCCCTGAATTCTTACTTATCTCTCCCAAGAAATCCTTGCTGGTAGTACCTTTCTCTACACTGTTGAATCAGGTAAAGATTTCTTTCTGGTTAATGGCTCTAGATAGAAACTTATACAAGTAGCAGGTTTCGTTGAATCACATTGCTTCATTATGTGATTCAGCCGGTAAATGTTAAAAACAAAACAAAACTCTGTTCTTTTATTATATGATTACGAGATTTTAAAAAATAAGGTTAGTCAAAGAATTTTTCCATTGTTAAAAATGTCCTAGTGAATATATAATAATGTTACCTAATTATTGATAATAGATGAGAACTGCATAGCAAAGAAAAAAAGCAATTAAAATCATAGCGTACAGAAGTAGGTACAAGTCTTTATTTCTTTGAATTGCTATCTGTAAGGACAGTTGTGGGTAGAGTGGGGAACCATTAGTAATTTAATATTTTTTTCAGACTTGTGAGCTTAAGTTCATATAAGCAGTCTTAAGATCTGAATCCACAACTCTGACAAATTGGTGTCAGTGACTGAACAGTTCTTGTGGCTTTGTTGAAATACTCAGAAATATTTCTTGGCTTCAAACAATGATGAGTTTTTTAACCTGTCCTGCTACTGCTGCTCTTAGCTCCCATAAGCTGAATGTAAAACACTTTAGCTGAATGATAGTATTTCTTGAGATACTTGTTTTCTGCTGTTTTCATTAAAGCTTTTGAGGAACTCGAAAAAGCCTTGAGTACAGCCCAAAAGACAGAAGAATCACGGAGAAAAATGAAGGCAGAAATGGATGAACGAATAAAAGCTATAGAGAAGACACGCGAGGAGGAACGCGCCAGTCTTCAGCAGGAATTAAGTCGCGTGAGACAGGAGGTCGTCGATGTAACGAAAGTAAGGATGCTTCTCGATTGAAATGGGCTACAATCATTTAAAAACTTAAGTCTTACGTTTGTGCTACAGTCTTTGAGTGTGAAGAAGAGTTATTTTGTATTTTAGACATTGACCATTTCATGATGTTCGGGATATAGGAAAAAAGCACTTCGATAGAGAAATGAACTTATGTCGTTTTGGAAATATGTTTCAGAGATAGTGTCTGCATATAATTTCTCTTTTATGTTTTATAATCCTCTCTTTAATTTTTTTTAACACAAAATATAGTATGCTATATATACTGTTCTATGCTCTTCCATTTAATAGTCTGTCTTGAAGATTGTTCCTTATTGATAATTGATAATCATGCCTCGTTTGTTGAAGACTGCTCAGGATTTCATTGTGTGAATGTCACATAATTTAATCAGTCTTCTACTAATGGGTATTTAGATTTCCATTTTTTGCTTGAAAATAGTGGGTATCCTTATCATATTTGCATATGTATACTTCTTCAGGATAGATTCCTAAAAGTGGAATATTACTTAGGTGAAGATTTATGTGTATTTTTAATTATTGTGTAGTTGCCACAAGCTCTATGGAGGACAGTTTATAGCCTCACAAGCAATGTATTAGAATATGTTCGCCCCGCACAAAGATGGTGTTACCTTTTATTTTCCCAAGCTCATCAGTTTTTAAAAAAACCCCGCTATTTTATTTTAATGTGCATATCTCACTAGTATGATAAATATATTTTTATATATTTAAAAGGAATTTGTAGTTTTTCTCTTTGAGTTGCCTGGTCCTTGACTCATTTCCCTATTGGGCTCTTGGTCTTTTTCTTACTGATTTGTAGGAATCTTTACTTATAGTAGGAATTGTCTGTTCAGATATAAGGAACTTTTACCGAAATAATTTCCTCAGGTTGTTATTTGTTCACTTTATGATTTTTTGTTTGTTTTTTTTTGGGTATGCAGAAAATTTTCTTTTCCTTAAATGCTGTCAGGATTTTTGTTCTGCTTTTAAAATACATTCTCGCTTGGATCACTTTTTTTTTTTTTTTTAAAGATTTTATTGGGGATTTGGGGGAGGGGAACAGACAAGTTGCTGTCGTTTTGTTCTTCAGTCTAGTTGTGGAGGACGTTGCTTCACTGGCCCAAGTTGGCACCATCATTGCGCTCTTCCCGGGTGAGGCAGATTAGTTGCCGGCTTCTAGACGGCCGCTCACTGCAGCTGCTGGCCGCTCACGCTGGCTGCTGGCTACACACGGTAGCCCATGGCAACCCACTGCAGCAGGGGCTGCAGTCTACGCCGTCTCCGGTGACTCACGGCAGCCCAGCTCCAGGTTGAGCTGTTGTTCAGCATCTTAGCTGTAGAGGGCAGTGTCACTGGCCCTCATATGTGGGATCCGAACCGGGGCCCTCTGGCGTGCCAAGCCAGTTCTTAACCATTGTGCCACTCGGCCAGCCCCTGGTGATTTTTGATTTATGTGGGAAATACGTTCTGGTTTTTCCTCTTACAAAGCTATTGGCTTGGTGATTAAACAGTAATAAAGGATTATTTAGTTGTAGAGTGATGGATTTTATTTTAAGTGTTTCACTTAACTATTTGGCTGATTTTCAGAAATCCTCAGAACAAATTGCTAAATTAAAGAAACTTCATGAAGAGGAGCTGGCCAGCAAAGATCGGGAGCTGACCAAGAAGTTTCAGACCCAAGAAAGGGAATTTCAGGAGCAGATGAAAGTTGCTCTTGTAAGTACTTGTTTTGCTTTTCCTATAGGTGAACTTCGCAGCGTTTTATAATGCTGTCATCCCCTGGTCCCTGACTCCCAGCTTGAGGTCCGACTACCAGCCAGCAGCCTAGACGTTTGAGTCAAGAGTGGAGAGAGGATGTAGGCAGGAAAGAGGCTGTCAGGGTACATTAGTATTGTGTGAAAATTAAATCTGCTAATCTTAACAAGCTTTCATTAATATTTTGTTTGTTTATCATTCTTCTCACCCTGGAGGTAGGTTATAATTAGGGAGAAGTAAAGGAGAAGATAGGTTAATTGAAGGTGTGGACCCGTGACTGCATAACTCAGAAAGAATGTCTAAAACTCACTAGACTGAGTGTAGCAGAGCTCAAGACTCAGAAAGTTTTGCCTGAAATATATTTTTAAGAAGAATAATTGAAAATGACCAAGTAGTTTTCATTTGAAGTAGAATAATTTCAGTAGTAATTTTCAATCCATATGATGTTTAAAAAAAAACAGTAAAAAAACCAAAAACAAACAAAACTGACTGAACTAATCAAATCAACCAAAAAAGCAAAGATAAGGTTTTTTGGAATAGTATAATTTGAAAGTTTAAAACAAAAAACATTTTTTCTCGAACTGTGTAAAGCTTTTTATATGTTATCATAAAAAGTGTTAATGCCAAAAACCTAGTTTGTTCGTATATGAAGTTATTATCCATAAGATAATATATATACTTTAAAACTGCTTTCAGTGTAAAAGAATAAGAAACAGTATTTATAATTTATGCTCCTTTCTCTCTCACACATATATCTTTTTTCACTCTTACTTAGATCTGGGCTCTGAGACTTGCCAGCAGCAGTGGTTCTTGGACTGAGTCAGGGAGTTCTCTAATCTCTGTGGGTCAAACAGGCGCATGGATTTACAAGTGCTGTTAACTGACGTCAGGGGTTTCGTCTGTGGTCCTGAAATGTACATGTTTATGGGCACATATTTATATTCTTCGTTGGTCCGGAAAGGATTTAATTTGTAAGAATGCTGAAACTATAACAGGACAGCATAAATTTAAAATAGAAGCATGGAAATAAAGGAACAAAGCCAGACATAAATGAAGCTGGGAATGACACTAAAAATTCTTGTCCTAAAGACCAACTATGGGTTTTCGTGCTGAAGTCATTGGCGTTTGGGAGCACTGAGCCCTGAATGCTGGCCTTGTTGAAACTGTGTGCTAGGAACTGATGTGTTCAGATAGCTTCTGAGTTGAGAGAAGGACACAGATGCACATGAAAAGCACACATGTGCGCACATGTGCATGGCCCCTTCCACTCCCCATTCTACCTAGTTTCTTAAAGAAGTTAGCTTTGACTTCGGAGTCAAAATTCTACAGACTATTAAAGTTTCCTGTTTTATTTTTATAGGCACATAGAGATACATTTAAAATATAGTTTCCATTAAACAATATAGTATGCTTAAAATGCTGTTTTAAAATAGATTTAGGGACTAATATTTTCTTATCAACCTACTTATAATATGGTAAAGCAATGTGCTTCACCTGGTTGTAGCAAATTGGAAATATTGCTGCTGGCAACATGAACCTTAAGCAATAGGTATGGATAAGTACACTTAATTGGAGTTCAACACCACTAAATGTTAGAAGTGCTCTCTAGAGCTTCTCTTTTCCAACAGTAAACACTTTTAATATGAATGTTGATATGTAATAGGGGCAATCAAAGAAGCTTTTCAGTATTGATGGGATGGTAAAAGAGCCCAGATCATCTGAAAAAAGTTATGTAGGCATTTATAGATATTTTCTTGATCTAATCTATATATTTACATGTAATACTCTGATTTTGATTGGTTTTCCATGTGGAGCTCCCTATCCTAATGAGGTATTTCTCACAAATTATTAATAATACATAAGCTTATAATCTAGTTTCTCAGCCTAGAGTTGAAAAAGCAAACTCTGGAGTGCAGAGAAGAGGTAGCGGCAGTTGTGAGACCCTTCACATTTAGCAGTGTTTTGCAAAACTTTTTAAGTAGTGAGGAAATAGCAGATGTAGCAGGGTCACTGGAACAGAATTTTTCATATCGAGAGTAATTGTGGCCAGTTTTGGCCAGAGCATTCTGTAAACGCCACAGTACCTTGTTTCTGCAGACCAGAGCACGGGAAGAGAGGTGATGATAGTGCCTACCTCACAGCGCTTGTGTGCAGATCAAATGAAATGAATGCTTAAGATTTAGTGGGTATTATTTTTTGCACAGGAAAAATGTCAGTCAGAATATAGGAAGATCACTCAAGAAAAAGAACAGCAGGAATCTTTGGCCCTGGAAGAGTTAGAGTTGCAGAAAAAAGCAATCCTCGCCGAGAGTGAAAATAAACTTCGGGATGCTCAGCAAGAAGCAGAGACTCACAGAACTGTATGTTTAAATAATATTCGGGTTCCAGAACTGTGAAATTGCTTGAATATGAAAACTGTGTTCTCTCTCCAGTCAGCATAAAGTTGTAGAGAAGCTTTGGTTTTACTGGGTTAGACTTAACATATACATGCACTTCCTTTTTAGGTAGTAAGAGGTATTTGTGGGAGTGGCTTGCTGTTTGCCATGTGGTGCTCCTTACTCTGCCTGTAGCTGGCTGTACTGTGCGCCACTCACCCTGATTTGTTACACCCAGACTCTGCAGCATCTCCACTCCATTGCTTCTTCACCCTGATCGTTAGGAAGAAGCCTCACTTTGTAGGCCACCCTTGCCCTGGTACCTGCCTGCCTGTCCAGAGCTTCATCTTGTGTCATGTCCTGGACGTGATTCATACTCTGTGTGTATCACAGTTTTGTTACCCCAATGCCCTGCTTTTACATCCAAGTTTTTCCCCATTTCCCCGTATTAAGCATAATGAATATATTTGTATATGTATTTGTGTATGTCTCAGCATGCACATTTTTAAGGCCCTCTGCCCCTTCCCTCAGGAGCATATGAAATGTATGATCTGTTTTGAATAAACTGACTGATGTTATTTATTTAGACTTTTTGCTCTGATTTAGTTAGTGAAACAGTCACACTAATTACCTATGCATAGTTCTAAACTGTGCTTTGTTTCCTCATTTCCACTGTTTATGTAAGGTGGCGGTGTGGTGGAGGGGAATGGGTACTCAGGTCTAGATCTTTTTCTTGCTAGCTTTGTAAATTAATTATACCTTAATAGTCTCACCTGTTGCATGAAAAGATTAGATTTGGTAATTCCTTAAGACCTGCTCTGATGTTCTATTGCTCTGCCTTACTGGCTGCTTTTCCTTTAGAGTCAGGACTTATATTTGCATAAGATAATAGTAATCTTTGTAAAATTTGTTTAAGTTCCTTCTTTTTGCAAAACTTTCTAAATAATAATTTTTGGGGTAGAAAAAACAGATACATTATTTATCTTCCAAAATTAAGTTACTAAAGTAATAGAATAATATTATAGGCCTTAAAAACAGAAAAAAATGCCTATCTTTCTATCAATAGTTATTATTATCTGCTTTATGATTTATTTCTTTTTGACTATCCATTCAAAATGTTCTTGAAATATATGTTGTTGAAATAGTTACCCAAATAGGTAGAAAAAAATCTAGAATTATGAGTTGTGTTAAAAATAGAATCTTTTCTTTGTTATATAATTCCTTTAGGAATTGAGCAGAGATTCTTTGTTCTTTCTAGTGTTTGGTGTGATAATGTAGAGTTATTTATCTCAATTCTAATCTTTAAGTAGGCGTAGACATCATGTTGTGTGTATCATTACTAATAAACAAGCCTTACTTAATAAAAATACATCTGTTTTTATTAACAGAGAATTCTTGAATTAGAAAGTTCTTTGGAAAAAAGCTTACAAGAAAGTAAAATTCAATCAGAAGATTTAGCTATAAATTTGGAAGCTGAAAAAAATAAGCACAATAAGGAAATTACAATCATGGTTGAAAAACACAAGACAGAATTGGAAAGCCTGCAGCATCAGCAGGATAACCTTTGGGCTGAAAAACTCCAAGCCTTAAAGCAGCAGCATCAGACTGAAATGGAAAAGCTTAGAGAAAAGTATGAACAAGAAAGAGAAACATTGTTGAAAGACAAAGAGAGTCTTTTCCAAGCTCACATAGAAGAGATGAATGAAAGGACTTTAGAAAAGCTTGATGTGAAGCAAACAGAGCTGGAATCATTGTCTTCTGAATTGTCAGAAGTATTAAAAGCCCGTGACAAGCTGCAAGAGGAACTTTCTGTACTAAAGGATCAAGCAGATAAAGTAAAGCAGGAATTGGAGGCCAAGCTGGATGAACAGAAAAATCATCACCAGCAACAAGTGGACAATATAATTAAAGAACAAGAGCTATCTATCCAAAGAACCGAGAAGGCATTAAAAGATGAAATTAATCAGCTCAGGCTTCTTCTGAAGGAAAAGGATAAGCATCTGAAAGAGCATCAGGCGCATGTGGACAATTTAGAGGCAAATATTAAAAGATCCGAAGGGGAGCTCCAGCAGGCATGTGCTAAATTGGAGCTTTTTCAGTCACACCAGAGTACCACACACGAGCAGGCCAAAGCCTATGAGGAGCAGCTGGCCCAGCTGCAGCAGAAGCTGTTGGACTTGGAAGCAGAAAGAAGCCTTCTTACAAAACAGGTAGCTGAAGTGGAAACGCAAAAGAAGGATTTTTGTACTGAGTTAGATACTCACAAAATCCAGGTGCGGGACTTAATGCAGCAACTTGAAAAGCAGAATAGTGAAATGGAGGAAAAAGTAAAATCTTTAACCCAATTCTATGAGTCCCAACTTAAAGATAATAACATAGAGCAGGGACAGACAAAGCAAATCCTGATGGAAAAGGAAAATGTAATTTTACAAATGAGAGAGGGACAGAGCAAAGAAATCGAAACGCTCAAACAGGAATTATCGGCCAAGGAGGACAGTATTAGTGTTTTGCATGAAGAATATGAAACCAAATTTAAAAATCAAGAAAAAAAGATAGAAAAAATTAAGCAGAAAGCAAAGGAGATGCAAGACACATTAAAGAAGAAATTGTTGGATCAGGAAGCCAAACTTAAAAAAGAGCTTGAAAATACTGTTCTAGAGCTTAGTCAGAAAGAAAAACAGTTCAATGCCAAGATTTTGGAAATGGCACAGGCTAACTCAGCCGGAATTAATGATACAGTGTCAAGACTGGAAACAAACCAAAAGGAGCAAATAGAAAGTCTTACCGAGGCGCATAGGCGAGAACTCAATGATGTCACTTCAGTCTGGGAAAAGAAACTTAATCAGCAAGCTGAAGAATATCAGGAAAAACATGAAATCCAATTACAGGAAAAAGAACAAGAGGTAGCAGAACTGAAGCAAAAGGTCCTCGTATTTGGGCGTGAAAAAGAAGCGATGAACAAGGAAATAACACGGCTTAAGGAAGAAGTCGTTACGCAGGATACACTATTAAAGGAGTTAAAGGAACAGCTGAACCAGGAGTCTGCTCATAGGAATTCTCTCTCACAAAATGAAACTAAACTGAAAGCGCAACTTGAAAAGCTGGCAGCTGACTTGAAGCATTCTCTGAAGGAAAATACTCTTCTTCAAGGGCAGGTAGTTGAGCTGAAGATGCTGGCAGAAAAAGATAAGCTTAAGGTCTCTGAGTTGACCGACAAGTTGAAAACCACAGATGAAGACTTCCAGAGTTTGAAATCTTCACATGAAAGAAGTCAGAAAAGCCTAGAAGACAAAAGCTTGGAATTTAAGAAACTGTCTGAGGAACTGGCAGTGCAGTTGGATATTTGCTCTAAGACTGAAGCCTTAGTACAAGCTAAAACAAATGAACTGATCAGCATCAGTAACAGTAAAATTAATGCTATTCTCTCTAGAATTTCCCATTGTCAGCACCACACAACGAAAGTGAAGGAGGCACTTCAAAATAAAACTTGCAAAGTTTCTGAACTGGAAGCGCAACTTAGACGGCTAACGGAAGAGCAAAATACACTAAAGAGTTCTTTTCAACAGGCTACCCATCAGTTAGAAGAAAAGGAAAATCAAATCAAGAGCATGAAGGCTGATATTGAAGGTCTTGTAACAGAAAAGGAAGTCTTACAGAAGGAGGGAGGGAATCAGCAACAGGCTGCCTCTGAAAAGGAGTCTTGTATCACACAGCTGAAGAAAGAACTATCGGAAAACATCAATGCTGTCACACTGATGAAAGAAGAGCTTCAAGAGAAAAAAGCTGAGATCAGCAGTCTCAGTAAACAGCTCTCTGAGCTGAATTGTCAACTTCAGAATAGTATCAGCCTCGCTGAGAAAGAAGCAGCTATGTCATCACTAAGTAAGCGATATGACGACGAACAACGTGCATTGCGGGATCAGGTGCAAGATTTGACTTTGAAAGCGGAAACTCTGAGTAAAGAGAAAACTTCTGCCCTGGAACAGGCAGATCACTGGTCTAACAAGTTCTCAGAGTGCAAGAAAAAAGCGCAGTCAAAATTTACACAATATCAAAATACTATCAACGAACTGCAGGTGCAGCTCGAGTTAAAAACGAAGGAAGCCAGTGAAAAAGATGAGCAGATAGCTTTCCTGAAGGAAGACCTCTGTCAGCAAAGTCAAAGATTTGAATGTTTAAAGGGCGAAATGGAAGATAAGACGAGCAAGATGGAGGAAAAGGAGTGTAATTTAGAGACTGAGTTAAAAACTCAGACAGCAAGAATTATGGAATTAGAGGAGCGTGTTACTCAGAAAACAACTGAAATCCAGTCCTTAAATGAAACGCTTAAAAATTATAATCAGCAAAAGGACATTGAGCAGAGTGAAATGGTTCAGAAACTGCAGCATGTGCAAGAGTTAGGAGAAGAAAAGGACAACAGAGTGAAAGAGGCTGAAGAAAAAGTCTTAACACTTGAAAAGCAAGTGGCTTCCATGAAATCTGAACTTGAAACTCAGAAGAAAGAATTGGAACATGTGAATGTGAGTGTGAAAAGCAAAGAAGGGGCGTTAAAGGCATTGGAAGAGAAACTTGAGTTAGAGGGTGCTGCAAAATTAGCAGAACTGAAGAAAAAGGCTGAACAAAAAATTGCTGCCATCAAAAAGCAGTTGTTATCTCAAATGGAAGAGAAAGAACAGCAGTTTAAAAAAGACACGGAAAGCCTTCTGAGTGAGCTCAATACAAAATTGCAGGAAAGAGAGAGAGAAATTCACATCTTGGAAGAAAAACTTAAGTCAGTGGAAAGCTCACCACAACCAGAAACATTAGTTGTCCCCAGATCAGCAAAAAATGTGGCAGCACATTCTGAGCAAGACGCAGCAGAGCCCCAAGGCTGTGTGCAGAAGGCATGTGAGGAGAAAATCAGTGTTTTGCAAACAAATTTAATGGAAAAAGAAAAGCTACTGCAGAGGCTAGAGCAGGAAAGGGAAGAGGCCGTTTCTTCTCATTCTGAAATGCAGCACAAATACCAGGAGCTCTTAGTAAAGATAGAACGTGCTGAAGCAAAGCAACACAAGGATCAAGTTGTGATAAATCACCTTCAAGAGGAACTTGAAGAAAAACACAAGAAGCATTCCTTGATAGGACCCCAGCATGTGGAAGAAAAGGAAGGTCAAAATAACATAGGGGTAAAGCAAAACTTGGGAAATGCTCTTGAGGATGTCCAGAAAACCCTCCAGGAGAAAGACCTAACTTGTCAGAAATTGGAGCAAAAGGTAAAAGAGTTGGACTCCTGCTTAGTAAGCGAGAAGGAAAGACACAGAGTTGAAATGGCGGAGTTGACCTCAAAATATGAAAAATTACAGGCTTTACAACAACAGATGGATGGAAAAAGTAAACCCACAGAAATTTTGGAAGAAAGCGCTGAAGGAAACTCCAAGTCACATGCGGTGCAATGCCAATTGCTTAGTACCATGGAGGCCGAGCACAGTGACCTGGAGTTTAGGTTAGCGTCGGCAGAGCAGGAGAAGCGGAAGCTGAGCAAGGAGATTGTGAAACTGCAGAAGGATATTCGAGTATTGCGGAAGGAGCATCAGCAGGAATTGGATATAACAAAGAAAGAATATGAACAAGAAATGGAAGAGAAAATCAAGTAAGTGTCTGCATGATATTTTTAAGGCGGTCCTCCTTAATTAAGTCCCCTTTTTGTGCCTAATATGGTTAAGTTTCGCCTCTCTGAATGAAGTATTAAACATAAATCTAATACGTGAAATACTGAGGAGAAATAAAAACAATTTAAGGCAAGAGGCAGTGTTATCCCATGTACGTTTAGGGGGAAAAAACCTTTTCTTACATATAAGATCATGGTTTTGAGGTGCATAGCCAAGGATTTGTTTTCATTTTGTGTTATTTTAGGATTAACATTGTGATTATATAATATAGATGTGTATGGTGAAATATTTTCGGTGAAAAGAACACTTTTCAAATCCTCAGGACCATTCCCTAGAGGTAATCATAGTTTGCGTATCCTTCCGGAAGTAGTTACTGTGCCTAGTGCCTCCGCCTCTCTGTGTGTCTCCACCCCCCGCCCACCCCCACTGACACTCACACTCCTGCGTCCCCTTAAAAAATGTTTTTATACCACTGAGATCGTACTGTGTGCACTGTTGTGAACCAGGTAACTCTTTACAGCTTGTTTTTTGTATCACAACCGTTCACTCTGTATTTTTGTTACTCAGGCAGGAGCAGGAAGATCTTGAGTTGAAGCACAATTCCACACTAAAACAGCTGATGAGGGAGTTTCATACACAGCTGGCACAAAAGGAACAGGAGCTGGAAACGACCATAAAAGAAACCATCGGTAAGGAAAAAGTTTAATTCAATAAAGAACAAATCAGAATCAGCAGAGACTGTTTATAATTTAAGCTTATTTTATTCATACTGTGATAAGTGCTTTAAGTAATTAAACTGGAAAAAAAATGATTCTTGCCCAAGGAAGTTCTGTCATGGGAACCTGGCCCTACCTGGCCATGGCCTGTCTTACTGAGACGAGGAGCAGGTGAAAGAACCTGAAAGCATTAGCTCATTAATTTACCTTATAAAGACACTTCTGCTGTGTGAGAAGAGTACCTTTGGCCAGTTGATTTTTATCAAATTTGGTTTGGAACATGGGTTCTTACTGAAATTGGGATCTAGATGTTAATTCTTACCTAATGTGTTTTCTTGTGTGTGTCCATTTTTCATTCATTAGATAAAGCCCAGGAAGTGGAGGCTGAACTTTTGGAAAGCCATCAAGAAGAGACAAATCAATTATATAAAAAAATTGTAGAGAAAGAAGATGATCTCAAAAGAACAGCCAAAAAATACGAAGAAATCCTTGATGTACTTTATTTTCTCTCTCTATTTTGAAATTTAGCTGTAATAGATTTCATAGTAGTGCTAAAGAAAATTGGGTTATCAGATTTCCTGTTTTTATAACGTAGAGGGTTTTTTTGGGGGGCTCAATATTATTCACGTTAGTATTTCTACACTGTATGCAGATTTATAAGGAGTCTAATTGATTTCCACCAAGATTGTAGTTTCCTGATCAGATTTTGCTAACCTGGCAGTAAAGCCCAGTTGGCAGGTATTGAAGCCACAGTGAATTGCTAAGGGGAAGAATGTATTCTCTTTTCTGTCTTCCTCTCAAAGCCAGGCTAAAATGTGAGAGAACCAGACTAAGAAATGAGAGCTTGTGCTTAGGTGAAGTCTTACTAATAGGAGAGTTAGTGTTTTTTAGAGTGGCTGCTTAGCTTAGGTGGGACCTTTCCAGGATGGCCAGTTAACTTTATTTCATCTTTACTCAATTTGCATGTTCTCAAGGGACTAAAAGGATGGGAAAAAATGGAATGCATCAGCCAAATCTTTTATATTTAGTGTGTGTGGGGGGGTATTTCAATGTACTTATTCTACTAATGGTGGATTATCATTGTCATTTTTGTTTGTGAAGATAAGCCATGAATGCTAGTGAGTGTTTTGGACTATAGAACATTTTCATGTGTAAAACAATGTAAATTATTCTTCATTGGGTTGCAGATTCTTTAGTTACTCCAAGCCTTAGTTCACCATTTGCTAAGAACCATTTGAGGAATAAGAATGCATAAATCAGAGAATCTTGCCTCAGCTGATTAGGGCAGCCGCGGAAGTCTGAGCCAGGAATAGATGCTAATAATAATTTTAAGTGTAATTGAAAAGGCTGAAATTTCAACATATGACACATGCATGTAAAGGCCACCTTTTTTATACTTTTTGAGCTTTAGTTCTCATTATGAAAAGAAGGTTTGAATAATTTCACACTTTACTATTTTTTTTTAAGAGCAAATCATTTGTTGTTTAAAGATCACAAGACAACCTCTGGATTTCTGTAGCACAATTTAAATGTTTTACTTTTTTGATAAAGCAGAGTACAATAGAAAAAAACGGTTCTGAATAATATCTTTATCTCTATTCAATATTAAGTCTTCCACAGACATGTTACCTGGAAAAGCCTGATACAATAAGCAGCACTTTATCCAGAGTAGCCACTTTTCATGCCAGGAAAAAGTTCATCCCTATAGGAGGAATGATGTGCTATGTAAAATGGCCAAGGTCACAGGCTTGAGGGCACTGGAAGTATGTTATCGTATTCCACATTAAGTAGTTTGGTGAATTCCAAACATCAGTTTACCTGCAAACTGATATTTCAATTAGGTAAAAACATAAATTAAGAAATCCCTAAACTGATGTTTTTTGATTCACATCGTTAAAAGATACACAGCTCATTAACAGTAATTCTGGCTAAGAATTACACTTGAGATTCCTTGCTCAGATTTTGGTTAGTAGTAAGAACCTTTCAGAAATTCAAGTTCTTATTAATCAATAATTTGTTAGCTAGGATACATTCAGACATGAGCCGCAACTACAGAATAGGCACTGGTGAAATCGGTCAAAACTAGGCCAAAAAAATATATTATTATCATCAATGACAGTACCACAACTATACCCTTCATAATTAATAATCATTCCTAAGACTTTTCATTGGGCAGCAGATGATGTGTTTTAGAGAAACACTCTGGGATGTTTTGAATCAGACTTGGTTTTGTTAGCTGAGTTAGAGGAGATAATTTCACATTTTCTTATACTTCCCTAGAGTATATCTGTGTGGAGTTTTAAAAAATACTGTTGTTTCTTGAATCCTTAGAAGCGTTGGAATTGGGAGATACACTAAAGCAAGTTTAGTTTCATCTTCTGTTTTTTTTTCCAGAAGGAAAAGCATGTTTAGCATAATTGAATGATCTCCCTAAAAGTACCCAGCGAGTGGTAGAGCAGTGCCTCTTCCTTAGCTTTATACGTTTTACAAAGGCTTTTCCCTGAGAAAGAAGCTTGGGGAAGGCAGCAATTATTTATCACAGACCGAAGTCAGTCAGGCAGCTTCATTTGCAGGGGTAAGCTGTACCACAGCTGCAGTTCCCGTCCGTGAACTGCTTCTCTCTGGATGTGTGGGCTAGAGATGGTAGATTTTCCTAGGTCATGACAGACCTCCGTAGGGACAGGGGTGAGGGGAGCAGGGAGAGAGGTTAACCTCTGGTATGGTTCATCCTTGAAAATCTGTTTACTAGGGGGAATTAAGGGAACAGACCTTTAAGCTTTATGCTTAGAGTAGCCAACCAAGGGGGCAGGAAGTGGCGGGTGGGCAAGTGAGCTGGGTAGGCTCTCTCGCAAGCTCCGTCCTGTGTCTGAGACCAGCGCTGTTCATTAGAAGTAAAATACAAGCCACGAATATGAGCCACACATGTCATTGCAGGATTTTAGTAGCCACATTAAAAATTAAACACGTGAACTTAATTTTTATAATGTTAACTCATCCATTATATTGAAAATATTATTTCAATATGTAGTCAATATAAAAATTATATATGTATTAATTCTTTGAGATTAGTATGTTTTCACATTTACAACCTGCCTCAGTTTGGACCAGCCACACCTCAGGTGCTCAGGGTCGCAGTTCTAGGATGGATGGTGGCTCCTGTGTGGGGACATTGTGGATCTAGGCTTTCAGTTGCCAGGTCTAGGGCTGACTGTGATTAGACATGCTCTCCTCATCTAAACGCCCCAGTTACATACTCTGTCTTGAAGAATTTCTTTTTAGAAATGTAAATATTACTAAAAGGGGATATTGATAGTTTTATTAACAGTTCTCAGCAAACACCGTATTAGTTTGACTCTGAGACATATCCTCTTAGCATTTTCCCCATTTGAAAGTTTTTGGAATTGGACTTTTTATGGGATTTGTATATATTATGTAGTGGTATTTTTCCCCCCTCTGAAAAGCTGTTATCAAATTGATTTGTCTTAATGATGACATTACAGAATGCTGTGTTTCTGTCATTCATTAAAATAATTCTGTCATCCGTTAATAGCAAAATGGAGCACAGAAACATTTTCATTTTCTTGCCTTTACTATCTTGGATAACGTTCTCACCATTCCTTGATCCATTTGAAGAAGCTAGGAAAGTTTTTAATCCTTGAGTCACACACTTCTTACCTCCCTCAGCCCTTCACATCCACACACCTTTAAGACATGAAATCTGCTTATCTCGGCTGATTTACTAGACAGAGAAATCATCTGTCTCCTTTAATTGTATATCTCCAGCACAATATCCAACATATTATAGGCTCTTACGATGTAGTTTTTCACTGTGTCACACTGTATGTTCCTTTCCTCTCAACTCCACTGCTGCCACAGTCTGGACTGCCATCTTTCACCTGATCTGGTCTGTTGTATTAGTTTCCCACCTGACCTCCTTGCTGCTAATCTTTTTTTCTAAGGTATTAATCTCTTCCTGTCAGAGTTATTTTCTATCTTGACACAAAGATGTGATCATATCACTTCTACTCCTGAATACCTCCAATGGCTTCCCATTGGCCCAGTGATACCTGCCCCCAGTTCAGCCTGTTCAACCAAACTTAACTTTAGCTTGTTCTCCACCATGTTTTACCTTTGTTTATGCTTTTTTGTGTGCTTAAGTATCACATTCTCAAACTTCCATGAATTAATACAGTTGTTACCATCTCTCTTTTGGTTTTTGCTTTTTTAAGCTTAAAATTTTTTGAATCAATCATATTCACATGGTTTAAAGATCATAATATAAAAAAGTATAGTTGGAGAGTGGTCTTGAATGAAAATTGCACATATTCTTATTCTCTGGATTATACAGCCCTGTCTCCCTTCTCCCTCCACAGATAACCATTAGTTTCTTATGTAATGTTCCAGTATTTCCTTATGCAAACTGAAACAAAAATGAAACATTCTTTTTCCCTTTCCTACCCAAACTTAGCTTTTTGAAATATACTTTTCTGCATCATATTGTTTTAACTTACAGTTCTTTGGAAACCCCTGAAATGGAATTAATTGTATCTGTGTTGTTTTGGCACTCATCTATATTTATTGCTTCACTTATAATATGTCATTTTTGTCATACATACCATATATGTGTAGGGATGTGTTAATTATCTGTCTTCTCCCTTAGACTGTAAGTATCTTGTTGGCAGGGATTTTGCTATTCAGCTCTAGGCTTGAGAACATAGCCTAATGCTTGGTTCATACTAGACAGTTGGTAAATTTGAAGGAGGTGACACATAGGGCAGAGAAGAATTCGTTTTGGAAATGGGGTGGTGACATCTCAAAGGAGGAGTGGAATGCTCAGAAGTAAGGGAGTTTACCTTAATTGCCTTAGTCCCAAACTCAGAGCACTGTCACTGAGAGGAAGTAGCTCCTAAAGCCACATTGGATACAAATCTGGTTTCTTTTTGACATTGATTGTATTTTAGCAATTTGGCTTTGGCATAACAGCTAGTCTTTAAAACGTAATTACTACGTATGTGCATATTCAATTTAACTAGACTTTCTTATTGTTTTTACTTCAGAGCAAGCAGTACTGTTCCCCCCCCCCCCCCGCCTTCCCCTGACAAGAAGACTAGAAAGCTTTTACAAAAGAAATTATAGAACCATTTCTTAAATTAAAAATAACACATCAAGGATTCTTTTTTAATCCTTAGAGGGCTTGCTTTAGGTTGGTATCCCACAACTGTCAAAGGAAATGTCAGAGACACAGCTAATTGTCATATTAAAACCTGGACCTAACTGGATAACTAATTAATAGATGATTCTTTCAAACAAGGATAAACCACATTGACACAGACATCCACGCAAGATATGCAATGGTATAGTAAAAACGGTAAACCAGGACTAGGTGTAATGTATTCACAGCAGTTTCTGGGCCGGTTAAAGTGGGTCTGAGTGGGGAGATGTTGAGGGAGATTCCTGTTTTGCTTATGTTGAGAGGGATTCGTTCTTTTTCAGGTGTTCTAAGTTCATGACAGGTAGTATTTAAAATTAGCTTTTCCACGTGGCCTGTGGGTCATTGCCTTATTTTGTGCCATGGGGCCGATCTCTTTTTGTTTGTTTTTAGACATCTTTTTTCTTGGTTCTGGCAAGTCAGCATCTTAAATCAGATGCTTGTTTATGGTTGTTTTTCCTGTTCAGACTCTTATTCAGCAAACACTTGTCCTGCCTTCATTACTTAAATCTGATCAATATTCCAATTCCTAAGGTTCTTTTTGCACAAAGGTTATTGCAAGACTTATAAGAGCAAGGAGAGTTCTGGGCCGCTCTATGCAGTAAATCATGGCACTTGTCAGAACAAATAAAGAAGTGTAAGGATGGGCAACAGCCTTTTCCCAGGGTAATCAGAAGAGAGAACGATTTATGTGCCAAATTTTATAAGTAGGATTTTTTTTGACTAATAAGTTACATATTATTTTGCACCCATGTCTGTTTTTACAAAGTTCAGGGCAAGTAGAGACATTAAATTGGTTACCAATACATTAGACAGTAACTAATTTTTTTCAAAACTAGATTTTAGTTGAACATGTACCTCAACATACCACTGGTGTGTGGTTTGGGGCAGATGTGTAGGAGGTGTGCAGGTTCGCTGAACTAGGACAGAGAACCATCTCTTGAATTACACAGCCCATCCAAAGGGGCTGGGAAAAAACCATCACAACTTGTTATCTGTGAAGTTGCCACCTGGCTGAGCAGTGCTGTGTATAAAAAAGTATCTACCAGTTTAAATGAATGGCTATTTTATGGAAATCAAACCCTAATATGGAAAAAGTCAAAGTCTTAGAGCACAGGCTGTGTGTTACAGTCCTGTCATAACACTGCTACACACCTAATTGTTGCTTAAACCTGGGAACCTTAGTTTCAGGGGGAAGAAATAGCTTGATGAGCTCTATGGGGTGAGGGCAGAGGGCGTGAAGGTGGGAAAAAGATATCCTGGGAATAGTGAGCAGCATTACGAAGGGCTTAGAGTTAAAAGTGGGGCATGAAGGAAAGTGTTTCAAGCACAGTAATGAATTACAGTTAATAACAGTGGTTTGTGATTCAAAAAATGTCAGGGATTTGTTTCTCCTATAGAGATAGTTCCTTTATACCGTTGTTGCTGCTCTACTATGTTCTTTAACGCCTTGTTTTATTCTAAAGGCTCGTGAAGAAGAAATGACTGCAAAAGTAATGGACCTGCAGACTCAACTTGAGGAGCTACAAAAGAAATACCAGCAAAAGCTCCAGGAGGAAGAAAACCCTGGCAACGATAAAGTGAGAGGAACTGGACTTGGCGTCACGTTTTTTGAAAACATCGTCATTTCCATTATTAGACTCGCTTACTAACATACACACCTACCTCATCTAATCCTAACAGAAACCTTTGCTCTGTTTTATAGACAGTGAAACTAAGTTTCAGTGAGGTTAAATAAGACATTCAAGCTCACACAATTAATGTTGTGTTGGGAATTGAAACCCAGTCTGCCAGACTTCAGAGCCTAGATGTTTCTGTTATATTGGGGCTTCTCAGTCTTGTCTGTGGAAAGGGCAACAGAGGAAAGTGAACCTCAGAGCCCTGAGATGTAGCCAAGAGTGATCCATAGGAAGTATGATTATTTTAGATTTTTATATTTTCTGCTAAAAATTCATGTAAATTTTATATTTTACCCTAGAAGATACCCTTATTTGCAGTCACAGTAAAATGTTTTCAGTTATATACCATTATGAAAAACAATTCCTATTTTTCTCCTTGGTTAATGGGCCAGATGCAAATACTACAGTGGGATTATTTTGGAAAATTGGACTGAATTCAAAGAGATCTGGCATTGTGTATCTAGGCACTTTAATAATCCCAGTATTTAAGTAAATTTGATGCTATGAAAGATAGGCCATATTTTTTCTGTGGCTTCCTGTCCCACTGTGCACCCCAACAGGGCACGTGGGCCCAAGTTTGAGAAGCTAGACAGTGTACTGTTCTACCTCCTAAAATATTCTCGCTCGTCCAGTATGGTGTTTACATAACTGTCATGAGGGCTTTGGGAAAGTTAGATGTTCATGTCTTCACCCTTGAGAGTTATAGAGGATTCATTACAGAATGTCAGTTACCAGATAGCAATTTTCCAGCCAGCCAATTACATGGACCACTTTTCCAAAATGGAGAGAAGACATCTTTATAAAGGGCTTTGCTATGCTGTGCCTTTTGGTACCTTATCTAGTTGTAAACACTTAGCAAGCTGAGTGCGCTGTTTCTCTGTTTCTTTAATAGCTACTAGTTCTGCTGTTTTAGTTTGGTTTTTAAATTTTTTTGCCATTTAGTCATGATATGCATATGCCAGGTGTTATGAAATATTACTTGCCATGAGAAGAATACATGTATTTCACTACCATGTTCTCTTCCTTAGTATCAAAATAAGTATAGTGACATTTTGACCTGTGCTGGGAAGCCATAGAATATTGAAAGATTATGAAATTAATCAGATCTTCTGAGTCCTTTATCTTGTATCATAAAAGAGAGAAAATATCCTTAATTTTTATTCCTACTCTAAAAAATGTTTTATTTTATTCTTCATGAATTTTTATCCTTCTTGAGCATCTTTTGTTGTTTCTGGGATATTTTGAATTGCATATCAGTGTTGATTTCAATGAAAAGTAATTTGTGATTATAGCTCTGAATGGATCCCAGAAATAATCCTTCACAAGTTTCCCTAAAGGGTCCATATGCTTTAAATAGATGCTAATATGTTAAATTTTTAAAAAATTATACACACAATACATGAATATAATCATGTTGTAAATGAGTCAGATAATACAGAAGTGTGGAATAAACCCATCCTGTTGGGCACATATCCTATAATCATTGTTAGGAGTTTGGTGAGTTGCCTTCCAATCCTGTTCCTTGGTGTTTACCTATGTTTGTATATATTTTCATGAGTTTGCATAGCAAAATAGACCAGGTTTAAAACCAAATATTTTAAATCTTATTTCAAATCTGACCATTCTGTTAAGATTATAACTTAAGAATTCTTATTTCCTTGTAATTTTGCATTACTCAATTTTACTATTTCTTACAGATCTTATTGTATACACTCATATTTTTCTTTTCCATTTTCAGGTAACAATTATGGAGCTACAGGTAAGGCAAAATCTTCCTTGAATTTGACTGAAGGTTATGCATTTGCAGGAGCATTCTGTGTTTTAAGTTAAAACATGAAGAGACTGTAATACAGAAATGTGTCCAGGCAAAGACTAAACCCATATGCATTTCAGACCTGACTGTTTGTTCTTTCAGGCACAACTAGCACAGAAGACTACGCTGATCAGTGATTCAAAGTTGAAAGAACAAGAGTTCAGAGAACAGGTACAGGTCTAATTGACACCTTTATTTTGAACTAATTTCCTTAATCTATGTTAGTAAGTACTTGGGTTTCATTTAACTAATTTTAAAAAAATTGCTTTAATAGTTAACTTCGCAATTTTTGTCTTATATTCAAAGAAGATATCTCCATAAATTCTTGATTACATGTATTTAAACAAGAACATTTGCAGCCTATTATTTCTAGTGCTTAACATTTTGGATAACAATTGGTGTTTGTTTAATTTGTAATAACCTAAGTTCTAAAAAAGAAGTTATTTTTTTGGTTTTATTAGAGGGAAAATATGTTGACATCAATCTTGATTACTTTTTCCTGTTGGTTAAATTGTCTTATCTTAATATGGTTTGTCCGCATATTGTCCAGTAATTTCATTTAAATAGGACCATGTGTAAAAAAATAAAAAATTTAAAAAAAATAAAAAATAAATAAATAAATAGATAGGACCATGTGTGGATGCCTAGAGGATGTACAAACATGAAAACACCAGTACGTGTGTATCTGTGGTGCATGATCTCTTGTAGACTTTTTCCAAACTGGAGGAATAGTGACTGAGGTCTGCAAGCCACGTTTGAAGGCTAAATCTTCAGGGATATTTCAGGGACATTTTCGTAAAATTAATACATGTAAAAATCTTGATAATTGTTGAAACTAGGTGATGGATATATGGGTATTAATTGAACTATATACCTTCTGTATTGAGTATGTTTGAAATTTTTCATAATATTTTTTTAAAAATTCATGAAGTATTCACTTAACATTTTCAATAGTTTCTTAGACACTGCGACTTTAAGCAAGTTTAAACCAAGTTTACCATAGGTTAATTGATCTAAACAAGAGTTAAGTTTCTATAGCATATTTCTGGTCACAAAAACATCACCAAACTTCTAAATAAAGACCTAAAACACTTCTAATAGTAAACATGGAAATAAATGTGAGCTTTACATACATTTAGGAAAGATTAATACAAACAAGTAAGATCATTATTTTCCAACCCACTCATTCTAGTTCAGGGTCATGGGTGACTGGAACCTCTCCCAGCAGCTTAGGGTGCAAGGCAGGAACCCACCCTGAACAGGACGCCCTTCCATCGCGGGGCCACTCACACATCCCCACACTCACTCCGACTGGGATAATTTAGACACCCCAGTTCACTGAATGTGCACACCTTTGGGGCTTGGGAGGAAACTGGAGTTCCTAGAGAAAACCCATGCAAGCATGGGGCAAACGTGCAAACTCCACACAGACAGTGGCCCCAGCTAGTAACTGATTTTTTTTTCATCAATGTTATACCAAAGAGAAGTTGAAAGAACATTATTCAAAGACCTACTGTACTAAGTCCCAATGTTACTTTATTTTTTTCTATTTCTCAGTGGTTAACTTTTACCATCTATTCTCAAGGTTACTAGTTTAAAATTCTCTTCTTTTTTTTTAAAGATTTTATTGGGGAATTGGGGGAGGGGAACAGCGCTGGGGAATCGGGGGAAGGGGAACAGACAAGTTGCTGTTATTTTGTTCTTCAGTCTAGTTGTGGAGGACATTGCTTCACTGGCCCAAGTTGGCACTATCATTGCGCTCTTCCCGGGCAAGGCAGATCAGTCCCCGGCTTCTGGACGGCTGCTCACGGCGGCTTGAGGGCCGCTCACGCTGGCTGCTGGCTGCTCACGGTAGCCCATGGCAACCCACTGCCACAGGGGCTGCAGCCTATGCCGTCTCCAGCGACTCAACGGCAGCCCAGCTCCAGGTTGAGCTGTTGTTCAGCATCTTAGCTGTAGAGGGCAGTGTCACTGGCCCTCATATGTGGGATCCGAAC